GGTGCCAGATAGACTGGAAAAAAGGAAAGAATGTCACTTTGAAAACCATTAAGAAGAAGCAGAAACATAAGGGACGTGGGACAGTTCGTACTGTGACTAAAACAGTTTCCAATGACTCTTTCTTTAATTTTTTTGCACCTCCTGAAGGTAAGTACTATTTTAGTTTGGGTATTAATGGTGGTTTTATAATAAGCTTTGTTTAATTTCTTATTCATTTGAATTTCTCTTCTCTATTTTTATAGTTCCTGAGAGTGGAGATCTGGTAAGTTGAATTGTTTTTTATTGTTTACTGTGTTAAAGCACTGGTCAGTCCTCAAAAGTGGAGGGGGGATGGTTGTTGCTAGCATTGTGTTCTGAGGCCTGCAATGCACTGGATAGACCTTTATGGATCTGGAAAATTGTTCCATTCAAAGTGATGTTACTGCCTCTACTGAGAGACAGTGAAATAAAAAGTTAAAGATTTTCTTTTATTTTGAGACTTGTAAATGTTTCTCTGAAGGATTTAACTTTTCAAAACTATTGTTTTCTTCCTTAATGAAACCAGAATGTATTCATTTATACTATTTACTAAACTCCTAGCCATATTACGGTTAGAACTCTTTCCTGTGTTTGTTACTACAGTAGAAATATGGTTGTATATTGTAGCCATGTATGTGTAGGTATGTGGCACATAACAAGGAATTACGAAATGTGCCTACCACGTAGCCTGGACTGACGACCACCTCAGAAAAGGTCTGTACAGGCAGGATAGGCCAGTTATGTTTTGAATTTGTTTTTCTCTTGGTCAGGTTTTTGAATTTAAATTAACTTAGGGAGTTTTACTAGTTTTATACATATATAGAATTAGGAATTATGTTAATTTGAATACTTCTGAATTAGAATCATCTTTAAGGCTTAGACCAGATCTGCAAAAGGCAAGTATTTCTGTCTGAAAAGAGTAATAACTGGCTTGGTTCAAAATACCTTTTATAGGATAAAAAATGGGAGTATAAAGCAGTGTGTAAATTTTAGGTAAGAATTATTTTGAGTATTAAGATAGAACTTCACACTGTTTTCATGTCAATGGATGGGTTAGAGCTTGTGTTCAAGTTCTTTTTCTTAGTTTGTTACTAAATATCGATGGTGACAAAACAGTCTTGAGAACCTCTACCCCATGATTTGAATTTCTTCCTTTAAAATTCACCTCTTCCTCCTTTTTGTACTTCTTAATTTATTAGATTATGTTGATGACAGAGTAAACGTTCATGGAATTCACAGATGGTATACTCATTGTTTAGTCAGAACCATTTCTGTATTGTGCTTTGCCATTAAATGGAAATTGTAGATTGAGTTTATTTATTGTCATTATCATTTGGCGTTAAGTAGACTTAAAACTGTACAGCTACTTGAAAGTATAGTTTAGGAAGTATGAAGTGATCTTCTGTGGTCTTTTATGTCCTTCTATTTGCCAAATACTTAATGTTGTTATTTTTGAAAGCCTGAGATTCTTTTGTTTTTGTTTTTGTTTTTTTGTTTTTGAGACAGAATATCTCTGTTGGCCTGGACTAGAGTGCAGTGGTGTTATCATATCTGACTGCAACCTCAAACTCCTGGGCTCAAGCCATCCTCTTGCCTCAGCCTCCTGAGTAGCTGGTACTATAGCATGTGCCACCAGGCCTGGCTAATTTTTTTGTTTTTTGTAGATGGGGGACTACCTATTTCCCAGGCTGGTCTTGAACTCCTGGGCTCAAGTGATCCTCTCATCTCAGCCTTCAAAGTGCTGGGATTATAGGTGTAAGCCACTGTGCCCGGCCCTGAGATTCTAAGTATTACTCCATTTGGTGTTTTCAATAATAATTTAAAAGGAAAATTGCAGTCATGTAACAAATTTGCTGTTATATTTTATTGTTTAAGTCAAAAACTAAGTAACCAGTTCTGATTTTTATTTCTCCATGTGTATGTAGTATGTACACTGGCCTGCTGACTTGCTTTTTATTAAAAACTTGTAAAACTAAGGCATATAGATGACTTCTTGATCACATACATGTAGGCTAATTTAAAAATGACAAAGTAAAAAGGTTAGGTTTCTTCTCTTCATCATATGATTTAAACCAAAGAGTGTCACATACGCCAAATTAAATAACAAAATGTTTCATAAGTTTTGTGCTTTTGTCTTCCTTTTAAAAACAGGATGATGACGCTGAAGCTATCCTTGCTGCGGACTTTGAAATTGGTCACTTTTTACGTGAACGTATAATCCCAAGATCAGTGTTATACTTCACTGGAGAAGCGATTGAAGATGATGACGATGATGTGAGTGAGTTTGAATCCTGAAAAGAAATAATTTGGTGAGGGTACAGTAATCAGAATGGTGTAAGAGGTTAGAATTAATTTTTAAAAAACAGGACATAGAATAATTCAAAATTAGGCTAATCATTGACCCTGTTGTAGATAGCTTTTCTGAGTTTTAAGTAGGTCTTCTTAGGATCTTTGGAGTCATTTATCTTAGTTTTAAATTTTCTGCTAATAGGAAGATTATTCTGAGGTAGTGTAACTTTTGTTTGGTTAATATTATAGGTCTATTATGCTCTTACCTTTGACCACACAGAACTGGGACATTTTTTAGTGCTTTAACATTTATTGGGAGGCATAGAATTTTTTTTATCCAAGGGAATATTAAGTAATGATTAAGGAAAACTTGGGTTGTCCTTAAAAATGTTTTAGATATCCTTATTGCTAAATGGCAATTGTTAGAATAGGCTTTTTATAATCAGTTACTTTATGGGAAAGTATTATTTCTCTTTAGATATTAGTTTATACATTGGTGCATGTTACTAATGCTATTCTCAAATGGGTGTTACATTCACTCACATGCTGTTTTTCCTTTCAGTATGATGAAGAAGGTGAAGAAGCGGATGAGGTAATGTTTACCAAATGAGCAAATAATTCTCTGTGTTTAACACATTGAGAAGTGAATTGAGTGACTTATGTATTCCTTTGCTATAATCATTATTCTGTGATTTGGGATAAAAACATTTTGGAAAATATGATTTTAGAATTCTACAGCCAAACAATGTATGTATAAGGTTTCAATAAATAAATTGCAAAACTCAGCAACATTTTTTTATTTCAAATAATTTTGTTCTGCTGCAGGGTTATCAGCTCTTTGAAGAAGTCAAAAGCTGCAGTAAACTTTTTCAACGTTGGCTGCAGTAAATATTTTCAATAAAAGCTGTTTGGATGTCTCAAGTTGTGTTGGGAAATTTTTCATATTAGAAGCTTTCAGATTAAATTGTTACCATCGAACTCTGTAATATGAAAATCTGTTGACCCCTAGAATAATTTGTATTAAATTTTCCATACATTATAAGCCAATTTTTCCTACTATGTACCTACTTCATGGATGCATTTTGAACTTTAATATAGGAAGGGGAAGAAGAAGGAGATGAGGAAAATGATCCAGACTATGACCCGAAGGTGAGCAAAATTAGTGCTGCTTTCTATTAAATTTAAGGCAGGCTAAAGTGAGAGTTGGTATTTCTGAATATAGTTTATTTTTTTCCATTAAAAGTCTTTAATAAAGCCCATTGACCGAATAACTTTTTTTTTCTTTTTCCAATCCCATTGGCATTTTGAACAGTACACATAATATCAATGGACCTTTCCTAAGAAACATTGTTTTGGATCTGACCGTGTTTTTTATAGTTTCAGGCTAAGTAAACTCTAGGATTCTGTTTTCATGGCATATTGTCTTGGGCATTTTTTTTT